AAGTCTTGTCGCGCGAGCTGCAGTTGTACTATACAAGACTCACCTCGTCACTGCTTCCTCCGTCTACGTCTGCTTCCGACACCGCCAAGCGAACCGCGGCCCTGGCGAGTCTGCGTGCAGACGCAGGACTGCAAGCACTCTTGCCTTACCTTGTGCGATGGATTGGAGAAGGTGTCGTTGGTGCGCTCAAGGATGGAGGCGACATCGAACAGGATGGGAGGACGCTCGAGGTACTGTTGGACGTCGTGAGCGCAATACTTGAAAACGGAACTCTCTTCATAGAGCCTTATGTGCGTTTTCGTTGTTTCAATGTTCATTTTACATGCTTCTGTATGGTTCTTACTACAACATGCTGTACAGCTCCATCAACTCCTTCCTGCAATCCTCTCTACTCTCCTTCATTCTACACTACCCAGGTCACACGCGACGCATCTCCGTACCGCGGCTGCACAAACCATCGGACGGCTATTGACACAACATTCTACCACATATCCATCACTTTCTCCGCGGATCATGAAAACACTGTTGGTTGCACTCCTGGGCACTTCCACCACAGGAGGTAGTCCTAGCTCGCGGATGGTCAACGGTTTCGGTGAGAGAGAGAACGGTGCACCGGGTGCGGCTTCGAGGACATCCAAACCACTAGGGACAAGGGAAGGAGCAGTTAGGGGCCTGGTCGGGATCGGCAAAGAGGCAGTGCGGAAGGGCGTGTTGGAAGGTGGAGGAGCGCGCATTGTAGGAGAGGAATGCGCAGCTTCGGGAGGAGAGGAGGTTGACGGTGTTGTTGACGCCGTCATGGTCTGTCATTTTTTGTCGTGGCGTCATGGTCTTCACTACTCACGCGCTAAACTACAGACGGCGTTCCAAATGCTTTACCCATTCTCTGATATGGCAGAGTCGCTGGATCTTGCACGGGAAGAGGACACAAAGTTGGTCGCACAGCTTACGGATTTACTTGGAGAATTTTTCACGGAGAGGGTGGTTGGTCGTGGGGATCGCGCATGGGCTGCGGGCATTCTTGGGAGTGTGGGTGGTTGAGAGCTTGTTCATGGGTGTCGAGTTTTATTTCGCTTGTGCGTCCGTAACGATGTTAATAATTCGCTCCTGTTTCTTGGCACGCGAATTTGCGTCTCCTGCATAGAGAAGTCAAGACTGAACAAACCCCTCCTTACGAACAACAAGGGGGTGTAATGTAGTTTGTTCTGCGTTACTGCAATGTCGCTGGCACCTGGGTGGGGTCAGAGTGTTAGGAAAGTGCCGTAAAGTTGGCACGACTTCTTTCCCGTAGTCATCCATGTACATTCTTTGCCTCAAGCTCACCGACGATCGACGAGCGCTAATAAGTTTCATAGACTAGATAAATCTATACCCATACCTCTGGTATCACGCTGTTCTAAAGAGACCACTACCGTGATGAACTACCCACCAGTCCGCCTACGACCAACTCATATACGCCCAAGAAAACAGCACCACCAGCAGATATCCAGAGTGTCCGTGGCACAACACCAGCAAAGAATGCACGAGGACCTTCGGTAGCATATATTTGTCGGGCACGCGTCAATAACGAAGGGAATTGAGAGGAGGGCTCCTGATTAGCCCGAGTCAGAGACGAGGGTTCAGATTACAAAGGGGATACATACCCTCATATCGAGCATCACACGCGTTTTGAGAACGTCCAGTGGCGTTGTGAGTGCCGCTGCGACGCCACCAGCGACACAACCACATGCCGCAGCCTCCGGTGCACGAAGAGGTCGTGCACCAAGAGACAAGGATAAGCGGAATTTAAGGAGCTCGTACAGGGGAAATTGGAGCGATGTGAATGGTATCTATCGTGGAGAATAACGGAACTTAAGTGAGGTGCGAACAGACAAAATATCAGGCCCTACTTCGCGCATAATGGTTGTTCCAAACCCACGGTAAAATCCTCTTACACCGTCCTGCCTCAAAAGTAGTTTGGCAGCCGCGAATGACGACGCTGCTAATGGACCGTAAGTTGACGTCTGCGCTCGTGTTTTGATCACTTCTGTAGGAACGCGGACAAGACAAGCTGCCTAGGCGCGTCACGCGATCAATTCGTAGCAGACGAGTGGTCAACATAAACGGAGCGCACAACTTCGCCAACAGATGCAGACAGCATGTGGTTGAGTGGGGCGAGCTGTCCGCTGAGCGGCAGCGTCTGCTTCATCGTTTCATATGTCGAGAAAAACATGGCCGCTGTTCATTCTATATTCTCAACACAGAGAGTACTTTGTTAGATCGACAACTTACCTCCCGGTGCACTTCCCACTACAACACTCCCAACGCCCTTGTATATCCCTCTGAACCCTCCAGCCTTGACAAAGCCTTGTTCAGCTTGCAGCCGTGTTTTTATAGTGTCGATGGGGAAAAAGAGCAGGTCAACGGCTGTACCTGCTGCACCACCGGCCTAAGTGAGGAGAAATGCAATACGGGAGTTCCATTGGGTGCTTTGGAGTGAGGGAATGGAACTGCGCACGATGAGGGACTGGATAAACGCTGGTCTGCGTTCAGCTGCCATTTCGTGCACTTCCAAGGCCGGTGGACGAGAACGGATTGAGTTTGGGACGAATTGCTCGAGTTGGCTGCAAATTTCTACTGCCAGTGGAAGCGACTCGCGACTTGACCAAGCATTATTATCACCTTCTCGCAGGCTCATCCCACATATCTACCCGACAGCGTGCAAAGGCGATGGACGAAGCTCTGGAACAACCACGCGCTCAACAAGCAACGTCCAACGACCCTACCCAAGAGGAAGACCATTCATCAGGGGAAGAAGATGGCGGTTTAGACTGGACAAAGCTTCCGTTCGTGTCAATCGCAACATTGGGTTGCTACGTTTACTGACCAACTACATAGAAAGCTAGGAGCTGCTCGACCCGTCATTCCAAAGCGCGGTGAGAAAGATTTTGAGCCTGCTCCCGGAGGTGGGTCTGGACTTCAATTGCACGTCCTTGACCGCGCGAGGGGTGCGATGTTTGAGGCTCTCAGGGCAACTAGGAGTATTTCCAGGTGAGCCTATTTTCTGTCCGCGCGTGAAGGTGTCTAAGTGTGCTTCGCATATGATGTTTCAGCAAATCTATAAGCTATGGTATTTGGTATCCTTCGATCGCTCGTGTGCATGTTACCACCGCTCGTGGAATACACTTTTCGACCATGGGACACTCCGTCGCTCGGTCAGGATTGCCAACGAATCTTGTAGGATCTCAAACGACCGATGCGAAATCTAATGACGCGTCAAGAGTCTCTAAACGGCTCGAACTTCTTCCAGAAGAAGCAATATATCTTATAGAGCGCGGCGCTTTGTCCTGTTATAAGCAAACATCTCATGGCCCTGCACCGAGTGACCCCCCGAGCCCTGAGGAGAGCAGCACGGGAGCACCAATGTCGGTACAACAAGCCTTCGCAGAGATGATTGGTTGCGAAAATATGACGCTTGAGAGGTATCAGGTAAGTAATATCGGGTTTTATAACAACAACATGTTTGTAGTCTCAGGCCTGAATGATTCCTTTACGCTAGGTGTATGCTTATCTCAAACGTCTCGGATTTGTCCTCATGCGTGCGGAGCCACCGACAGCGGACTACCCCGTCGCACCACCCTTGCCATTGTCTTCGCCTCGTTCTCAGCTTGACGGACGAACGATTTGGGAAAGACTAAAGGAGTTTTTCCTACGTTTTGTATCAGACGTTTTGAACATCATCACCGTCAGCATCAGGAAAACGAACAGTTGGTGGAATCCTTTGCGCCTCGACCGGTTCAAGTCACACGGTTCGTCGTCCATTCTGAGGGTCTCTTCGTTTACTTGACTATGTTATATCCAACCAGCCGAAGTGTTCCGAGTGATGAGGATCATACCTTACGGGCATTCTGTCCCTTTGCACCCACCGCAGGGCTCAATGTCCAAGCGTTCAATCTCACCAAGTTCTCCAACAACTCCACCCTCTCCCTACAAAGTCTTTTTCCACGTCTACAAGCCCTCGACGCCATTCCGCAAGACATCACCACCCCCGCCGGACTTTTATGTTGTGATAGTAAAGTTCGTCCTTGTTTCATCTTCCAGGAATTTTGCCTCCGTGATCCCCAGCGCAAGAACTGACTGCTGCCTTCACTCGCAGTGCACGTACAACGCCCATGCCTTCGCTACATGAGTTGACAGCGCTTTTCAATGCGTTGCCTGAAATGCCACTTCCGCCGCCGCGCCGACGTAGAGCCCAAGCGCCTGCAGCAAAGCCGGCCAATGGCGCAACAGCTAGTCCTTCACCGACCGCTGGTTCAACCAACCAAGCGACTCAGGCACCATCAAAAGCATCGTCAAGTACACTACCTCCTGACAAAGTGGCCAGCACTCCCATCCCCTACAGCTTCTTCTACAGCCTGCTCTCGTACCTCCCCTTCCGTCTCTTGCAATCCAAACACCCTTCCGACCCCTCATCTCCACCACCAAAGTCCTCTCCGGGCCCAAACAGACCGAATCCGTTCCTCGCACTCAAAACTGGCACGAAGACAATTGTTATCGCTGCCGTTGATTCAGGGAATATAAGCTTCTTTAGGTTTGGAGAAGGTGTGTTCGGGGAGTGGCCGATGACGTAGTCCCTGTGCGTCTTGCCCTCCCGGTTGATTGAGGGGAGGAGGATGAGGTTTTGGAATCGGTCGAACTCTATTGAGTCTGACCCTATCATGGGAAGATTCCCCTTCCAGGAAGACAAATCCTCGGGTGCCAAAAGTTGCCGTACAGAGCCTTCATAGGATGTTGGTGGCGCCAGGGCTGAGGGAGAATGAAAAAAGGGCTCGGTTGTCACGGAGGATTCGTCGATCGAGTACACCGGCAGTATTGCAGCTGGCATACATAGGCTTTTCGTACGCATTTCTCTGAGCGAGCTGTCTCAGCGTCAACTGCGAAAAAAAAAAAAAAGTACAACAGTAGGAATACACTACGTTAGAGACTGTTCTTGCTCGGCGATAAATTTGAAAAACAAAAAGCATTGGATGCACAGGGGATTGAACCCTGGACCTCATACAACTTCCATGTGATTGCTCACATGTGACTATGCAAAGCATGCGCGCTACCACTGCGCTATGCACCCATGAGAAGTATTCTGACCGCATCACTTATAGTCAGTCATCGGTGTTGCCTGCGATTGACTTTCCAATTCTAAATGCATGCATTCGAGCACATTTGTCGAGGTACATATATGTAGCAATGAGCCTCACATCTTTTCTTCTAGGAGGTGGGTCGTCGGGAAAGAAAAAAGCGCTTGACAAAGATCTCGATGCTGTTTTCCAAGCCCAAGTAGGCATTTCCTCATGGATTTTTGTGACGAGCTCTCCTGAACGTTTTCTACAGGTGCGCGAGGACGGACCAAGTTCCAACCCCGTCGTCGACACTGTTACCGAAAAAAAGAAGGAAAAGAAGCGGAAGCCTAAACAACACGATGACGAACCAGAGGGCAAGCGTCCCAAGTCGTCACTTGCAGAAACGCGCGATGAGCCATCCCGACCGCGTCATCATAAAAAACCGCAGAAAGGGACTGTCAAGAAGCGTGTCGTAGTTGTCCCTCCAGAACATGAGTCGCAGCGGGAGAACTCAGAGGATGAGATACCAGAGAGATCCGTGCTTGATCACGCATCAGCGGACTCTGAGAGCGAGAGTGAGGACGGGCCGCTCAAGATAGTTCACGAGGTGTTACGGGAAGACGGCAAGACGTCCAAGAAACGAATATCTGAACGTAGCAGGAAGGAGAAACACGCCCCGCCCGACGAGACTCGCGAACAACGAGATGCTCGGACGATATTTATTGGAAACTTGTCACCCGAGATTGCTCAGAAACGCGTATGTGAGGTCAAGGTTTCAGTTCTGCACTCTGGGCTAACTATATATTTTCGTAAGCCCTTGCAAAAGCAACTCCACCGGCATATAGTGGCACTCGTTCCGACAGCCAAGATTGAATCAACACGTTTCCGTTCCGTCGCGTTCCAAACACCCACGTCGAAACTTCCCAGTGAAACAGACGCAATCGATTCCAAGAAGAAATCTCGACAGCATGATCGTGATCGTGCATCGACGTGGCGTGAAGCGAATGCTGGCGACGAAGTTTCAAAAGCGGACGAAAAGAAATACTTGACCCCAAGTCAAAAGAAGAAAATCGCGTTCATAAATCACGATATTCATTCGAGCGCGGACTCTGTCCATGCATACATCGTATTTGCACATCCACAGCCTGCTGACACGAGACCCGCCAATCTTCCACCCCCTCCTCCCGTCATGGATCCGTATGAAGCCGCGCGCCTAGCTGTGGAGAAATGCAACGGGACGATGTTTATGGATCGTATGATCCGCGTGGATTTAGCCTCTAAACCCTTGGACGAGGTATCATCAAACACAACGTTATCCAGCGGTCCCATCGGGGATCCAAAGCTCACTGTTTTTGTCGGTAACCTCGATTTCGCCAGCAAAGAGGAGGATCTACGCGTTTTCTTTGAAGGCGTCGTCAGTGCAGAGAGAGGACCTCCAGATCTCGATTCGGAGAGTGACAAACCTAAGCACTGGGTTACTCGCGTGCGTATGATACGCGACAAGGATACACAACTCGGAAAGGGATTTGCATACGTTCAATTTGCTGTTCGTATGGTGGCTGCTCATTCTGCTTGTGAGATAGTTAACCGTATTGATTAGGACCGGACGTGCGTGGACGAAATTCTCGCACTTGAACCGGGCAAGCTCAAGTTTGCAAAGCGAAAACTGCGCGTCCAACGATGCAAGACAATGCCGGGGGCTTCTGCTGTCAAAACCACCTCTCCCACTAAACCCCAACGTACATCGCAACCCTCTGTCCCTGCAATACCGAAAGGAGACCCATCACTGGGCGAGAAGCTCGCAGGTTTGTCTAAGGAAGAACGTAAGCAAGCCAAGGCTGTGGACGCTGACCGTCTTGCTCGGAGAATGGCAAAAAAGAAAGCCCGTATGGCGCTTGCGAACAAGGGAGTTCCGGTGCAGGGTAAAGACAGGGAGAGAGTGCGGAAAAAGAGCGCTGCTGCGCGGAAACATGGTAATAGTGCACCTCCGAGAAAGACGAGAGTCCGGAGTGAAAAGAGTATAGCGAAGAGAAATATGAAGAAGTAGGGTGTGCCGCGCTGCGAGACTTGGCCATCCTACATTCGAGCGAGTCTCTTCCAGACCAAGCGATCGATGCTGGCTACGCGCAACTTGCTACGGTAAAGTTACCCTTCTGTGCATGGATAATAATAATCGTGGAAGACGACCAGATGAAGCTGTCTGTCTGTCGAACGTAGATAAGCTGACCTGGCTGACCGCCATGTGGAGGATTGAGCAACTTGTCCCACTGAGCACAACTGCTTATAATTTGTGGGATATTGCCTAGCGTTGGTCAACGTCCTTCCCTCCGATGTTCTCTACGAGAGTGCAAGCGCTGAGCTTGCTGTCGTTGGCGGTCGTCGGCAGTGCGACGTCGCAAGCATTTCTCGGTTTGAACACACCCACCCAATCGCACTACAGTTCTGCACCATACGATGATGGGCTCTTTACACCAGTCGAGCACCTGAGCGCACTCTCAGCCGACCGATTCACCACCCTCAGCCATCCAGTATTTCCCAAATACAACGTCAGGATCAAAAAGTCGGGTTTTTGTGATGGGACTGTCAAGTATGGCGTTGTCTTTAATCTTACCCCAACTTTGCCATCTGAAACCTCTACAGTGCTTACACAGGATACATCGATATCGAGGCTCGACACCTGTTTTTCTACTTCTTCGAGAGTCGCAATGATCCTGCCACAGACGATGTCATCTTTTGGACTAACGGAGGTTCGCTATCTGGTGTCAAATTGTTCTGTGATCTGAAATGGTGTCTGCAGGACCTGGTTGCTCTTCAAGCTTGGGTCTCTTCATGGAACTTGGTCCATGCAGGGTTCTCACCGAAAACGGCACGACTTATCACCCAGAGTCTTGGAATACGAATGCAAATATATTCTTCATCGACCAGCCTATCGGTGTCGGGTTCTCTTATGCAGATTATGGGGAGAGCGTGGTACGACCCTTTTTTCCCGTCTCTTTCCCGATATGACGCCATTGACGCCACGCTTTAACAGAGCACCACAGAAGAAGGCGCGAAAGACATTGCTGCATTTGTAGCCATCTTTTTCGAGAACTTTAGCCAATTCAAGGGCCGGGCGTTCCATATGGCCGGGGAATCGTATGGAGTGAGTACTTTCTGCGCGTACATGCACGTGTCTGACGGGTCTCCGATCATCATCATTCCTTGTCCATTTCCAAAGGGCCGCTACATCCCCGTCTTTGCAGCTGAAGTCTACGACCAAAATACAAGACTTGTCGAGGCGGGTTTGACGCCTATCAATTTGCAATCTATCATGATCGGTAAGTCTCTTCACTGGGATCGCGCTTGCCAGTCCATGTTTATTCACGATCGGTGTCTTCATTAATTAGGTAACGGTATGACGGACTACTTCACCATGTCGCCTTCGTACATTGACATGCAATGTACCGCTGCGTCTGTTTTCCCAATCTCTAGTATCAGGTGAGAGTGTGCACACTTTCATATCGTGATGACATCCTCTAATCAAAGTCCGTTGACTTAGCACGTGTGTACGCATGAAGCAGGCTGTAAGATGACATGCGTTCCCGTCTACACGTGCCTTTTACTCATTCGATGGCGAACCCATGGTATTAAACAGCTGCCTAGGTGCCAAAAGTGGACTCGTGCGGCGTGCATCGATCAGTTTGATGCGATGAGCTGCGGTGCAGCGCGTACTTTCTGTGACATGGAACTCATGGCGCCCTTTTTTGAGACTGGTAACTAGGCCTGCCATCTTCATCTACGCTTCACGTCGTGTTGACCTCGTCCTATTCAAGGTATGAACCCATACGACGTCAGCAAGAAATGTGAAGGTGATCCGGAGAGCTTGTGCTACCCCGTCACAAAGTATGCCATTCGGCAAATACCTTATCCCGTGCCTGACTCCTTCTCTCTTTTATCTACGTAAGACACATCCGAAACTACCTCGACCGTCCCACTGTCCGCTCCCAACTCGGCGTCGACCCATCTGTGAGCACCAACTTCAGTTCCTGCAGCGACACCGTCGGCCTCGCCTTCGCGACTGCCCTCGATGAATACCACGAAACATACACGCACATCTCTGCCCTACTCGAGCGTGGCGTCCGTGCTCTGATTTACGTCGGCACGTACGACTGGATATGTAATTGGATTGGAAACGAGGTGTGGACGCTGAATATGCCGTGGAGTGGACAGGAGACGTTTAAGGAGGAGCCGTTGAGGGTGTGGGAGGTAGAGGGTGAGGTGGTGGGGAAGACGAGGAGCACGGGTGGGTTGACGTTTGCGACTGTGGATGGGGCTGGTCATATGGTGTGTGGACTCTCTGCTTCGTGTGCTTGGGTTTCTGGCAAGGTCGGTTAGGCTGATGGAGGTTGTTGTTTAATAGGTTCCGTATGACAAGCCCAAGGAAGCGTTGGCGCTCGTGCAGAGGTGGTTGGCGAAGGTGGATCTGTGATATACCCTATCAGAGTGTGTGCAACGCGTCGTGCATGGGATGCTGGGGGGATAGCATGTAGTGCGGTATTTATCCAATTTGAATGAATCTCAGTCCGGGAAACGGAAACAAAAGATGTGGTCTTGTAAAGTCGCAATTGCACAAGTTTGGGTTATAAAATGTGATCAACAGCTTCTTCACGCAGCTAGATTGCCAGCTATAGCGAGACTTGTGGTAGGACTCACCTTCCAGCGATCAAAACACCCAGGAGGAGTACACGAGCTGAAGCTACGATACTTTAGGGTGAGTGTTCGAAGACGTACCCAGGACGAATTTTCATCTAGATAGCAGACCCCCATCGACGAAGGTCCACCCTCGATCGTGCTCAACACCAGCGTAATGGTAACAGTCTTTCGCCATTGGCAGATCTGCCTGCGCATGTTTGCACAAATGCACCATCGAATCCATCATCTTCCCGCTTCATTACCGGTTGTTGGACAAAGTGCAGATTCGTCGATATGGGGCCCATAAATGCAAGAACTGCTCCAATGGCCAAAATGTGCG